ATATTTTTTACCTTGCTTACTGGTCTTATTCTCTCGTAAGGTGCATCGACACACAGCGCAGATGTTCTCCGGAACTCTTCCGCAGCGCAAAACCCGCGGCGCTGCTGCGCTGGTTTCGTGTCTTCCTCGGACGCGAATGGCGCGGCGCGACTCGACAAAAGACAATATAGAACCCATTATACTATCTACAGTGGATGCGGACAGTAAAGTGATGCCCCGGTATATTTCTGACGTACAGATGTACTCCAAGCGCTCGTGCTGTTTCTGACACGAAGGACAAACTGATTTTCCAATCATTACAAGCGATGTGACATCCAGTGTAGTCAGTCCCAATCTGTTGCGGCGTTGTAGACACAGTGTAAGTCAAATCTTGTCAATCCAAATGTGAGAAATGAGGAAAATAAAGCAACCTCAATAGAATGGCGCCAAAGAGGCCGTTACGTCAAATACAGTAGTATACAGCAATTAAAAAAAATACAGTAAGTCACTGTATGTGGGGTTTGACATCACAGAAAATTCCCATGATGCAAAGGATATTACAGTTATTTACTGTAAAACGAATTTGCAGTATTATTCTGGGTGATATACAGTAAATAACTGTAGAAATTACAGAAATGTCTAACAGTGTATGTGTTTGATTCACTAAAAATAATTGCCTTAAAAGATTCCTCATTCAGGAAGTGGGCTACACTTGTCAATATGTTTACTAAAAAGAATAAATAAATAAAAAAGAAAAATAATCTACTCAAAAGATTCATTCATTCAGCAGTTGTCACACTGTATGTTTTTAACTCACTAAAAACATCCAGCTCACAAATTCATTTCTTGCGACAACTGGACTATGCTTGTTGTGCTGTATGTGTTTGATTCAGTAAAAAGACCAGCTCAAAAGATTCACTTGTTTGGGAATTGAACTTAAGTGGTCATACAGTATGTTTTTGATTCACTAAAAAAAGAAGTAGCTCATAAGATTCAATCATTCATTACAGTTGGACTACAGTGGTCACACTGTATCTTTTTGATTCACTTAAAAGATCTGGCTCATAAATTCATTTTGAAAAAGAAACAGAACTCAGTTACCAACCCTGATTCTAAGTCAGGAAAGTTTAGTGACCATGGCAGTAGGCTACAGAGCATTGGTGTGGGTGGGATTTCTGATGTTTTCCTTTTTTTGTGTGAGATTCACCCAGATTGTCTCATTCACTGCAGTCTTAACATTGCCAGCCCAGTTCTAAACCAGAACCAATTACACAGTGAAGTGGAGAAATGCGTGAAAGAGCAAGATATTAAGAGTGTAAGTAGTGCAGGATGTGTCCTAAGCTCAGGCCTGAAGAGCATGTCTGTCTGAGTGCTCTTTCCAGGCTGGAAGCTCAAGATTTGGATGGAAACTGGGATAGTGTCCATTGTGCAGATCCGATGATCCCTGCCAGAGCAATCAGGTATCAGAGCTCGCACCAAAGTGCTACATTCCCCCTGTGTGCTCAACAGGAGGGGGTTTGCACGTATTCGGCCTGCCCTTTGAGCCAGAATCCTGAAAAATCAAGGGAAATAAACCCCCTTGTTTTCAGGAGCAGTTGCCAGATATTGTGTTTCGGTAAGAGCTTACAGGGAAAGTAAAGCCATATGAAGCAAATCGCATTAGCTTCTACCAGTATCCACTCCAGGGATGGACATTATGCATACAATCATTAACGATGCATACCGATACAAATACATGTTTCCGATACTTTTGAAACCTCAGGTTTCTCACACAGGCAAATGCAGCACCTCCATTCCAACATTGAAATCACAGCTCATTTTCTTAAGTATGGAGTGATTTGGTCTTTTCGAAAACAATGAGTGTGCTGAAAGAATGCAAATTGAGCAAGACTTGCTTTTGTCATTTCATGGCTGAAGATAAGGAAATAACTTGGATAACTAGATAACTTTTTTTCCCCTTTGTATTCCCAAATTGCTAGTCTTTATCCCCAGTCACTCATTGACTTTCTCATTTAAATGTGACTAAAAAAACAAACAAAAAACGTTACTTTATTTTCCCACTGCGACCTGTCAGATGTCATTTTGATCACTTTAACAAAGCTTAACACGTGTTCACATTACAGTGCATTTTAAGATGTTTCAGACCGAAGATAGTTTAACTGTTATTACACAGCGCTGACAAGCATTTCAAATGTTTGTTTGTCTGCTTCTACACATATCTTTTTATTTATGATATATTTAGAATATATTATAATTATTGTAATATAATATGTATTAATTATAATATGACCTATGACTTTAATATACATACAATAAAAATAATAGTAATAATAATAATAATAATAAAATTTAAAATAAATATAAATATTATTTTATATAAAATTATATAATAAAAAAACAGAATAATAAAAGGAATAATTAAGGATTAATGTATAATAATAATAATGATAATAATATTGACATCCGTGTATATCAAAGTATTTCATAAGGTGACAGTGGTGACAGTAGTGTTCTGTTCATTTTAAATAACACAATTTTTCCTTACTAAATTTCACTATTTAAATTTAATTTCTTCTTGTATTAACTTCAGTTGCCCGTTTCATATATCCAGATGTCAACCCCAGGGATGACATCCTGCTATAGGTAGACCGCTATTGTTTAACCATTTTTTTTTTACTTTTACATTCCTCTTACGGTTCTCCTCCCAGATTTAAAAACTAAATAAATAAATAAAAAGGTCCACCTAAGTTATGCATGTTATTGCATTATAGTTTGAATCTCAGATAAGAGGTAAATCAGCAAGTCACATTAAGTCCATATAGCCAAGCTCTTTGAGTTATGTTTAACATTGGCTTTTCTTGGGAGGCTGTTTTGCATCGACCGCGCAGGCTGGAAAACACCCCCAGGCTTGGCATAACCGGTAGCAGAGCTGGTAAAACCATTTAGGCTTTAACGCTTCATTGTTTGAGTTTCCAGAAGAAAGAAGAGCCTCCTTAGTGGTCAGCCACAGCGATGGACATTGAGGGTTTTTTGCTAGACCATTGTGAACTGCTGCACTCGTTTTAACCCGTTCTCCCAAATGGCCCTCACCCAGCTTCTGTGGATGCTTATTTCATCTGATTCCTGTGTGGAAACAACTCTTGAACATCCCTGTGGTGACTTGATATATTTGTTAAACTTCTCTTCCTGCTGGGTAATGTCTATGTACATCTGTTTATAATGCATTTGCCCTATTTGATGGGTATTTTGAACTCGTTTATTAGCTTGCTAGTTGTCACATTGATGTATCGAATCTGATATTTTAATCATTTCTCAACTCATGGTTCCTCTATTACTGGCCAGAGGTCTAGACATTTACATAAGATATATTAGCTGTGTCCCAAAACCTAGTGAGCTGCCTATCTAGACAGCATTTTAAGGCAACATAGTACACCTAACCGAAGACTTTTCAAAAGCTAGACAGCAACATTATGCTGCCTTTTAAGACACATCTTATGGTCAAATTCCAGGTAGTATCTCCTAATCCTTTTTTTGAGAAAGCAATCCCAGAATGCATTGTGATGAACTTGGTGAAAAAATAAATTCAAAATGATGAGAGAAATGTTGAAAATGTTCTAATTTGGTACCAAAAAGTGTTCATATAAATATTAGTCTCAATTAAAGGGGTCATATGATGCAATTTAAATTTTTCCTTTCTCTTAATCCTCCTTCATCGAATCCGCCGGCGCCACTCACTCAAGCCGCTGTGTGTTTCGTTGTGAAAGCAAAACTACTTTATTTGGCTTTCCAAAAGAGGACATAATGTTTCTATAAAGTGGGGCAGTTCCGACTTTGCAAGGACAGTCTGGCGCTTCTGACTCACAGCCTGTAAGTACGTTTTTTATATTTAAAGAATTTCCCACTGATGATTCAAATGCGAGTTTTGAGCAGTGTAGAGAAGCGCTTGTTGTTTGTCATTTCTCCAATCACAAATGCAGACATGGTTTTATGGTTACGCGGTACAATACGCAACGCAAAGCGTAAAAACACAGTATAAGTCATTATAATCAGTAATTATGTCCCAATTATGTTGCAACAAATGCCTCCTTTGTAATGGGTTTTATTGGTTTTGTCTCGTCGCGCCGGGACACATGGAAACACAGTATGGTAAGGGGCGTAACACGTCACACGCTTGAGGTATTCATCCAATCACAACACACTGGATAGCTGGACAATCAGAGCACACCTCGCTTTTCAGACCGATGAGCTTTGTAAAAATCGACGCGTTTCAGAAAGGCGGGGCATAGAGGAGAAACAATAATGTACAGTATGTGGAAAATAATGTGCTTTTTGAACCTTAAACCACATAAACACATTGCATTACACCAAATACACAAAATAATGTTCTTTTTAGCAACATTTTATGACCCCTTTAAAACTATGGAAGCTTGTTTCCACCACTGGAACTGAACTTTTGTCTTAGAATTGCGTGATATAAACTCACAATTGCATGTTGAAAAGTCAAAATTGTGAGATATAATCTCAATTTTAGAAAATGTCAGAATTGTGAGCTGACTTTTTTTCTGTTAGAATTGGATTTTTAAATTCCAAATTAAGTCAATTGTGACTTTATATCCAGGGATTGAATTGAACTTCTTCACTCACCAGCCAATTTGGCTACTAAATGTTTAAGTTACCGGTGTTACAGCCGGCTCTTAGGCTGCAACAAAGAGGAGTCCAGACGCAACAATACTTAACAAAACATTTATTTTAACACAACAAAATATAACAAATGAAACAAAAACGAAGGAACGAGCCAGGGTCGGCCGGGACACGCAGCACAACACGGACCGTCGAGCTCCACGCAGGAGACGATCTCCCAAACCACGCGCTCTGCAGCAACACGCCAGGCACTCTTAAACTCTGCATCCAACAAGTGTCAGGGGTGCGAGCCACACCCCCTCCAAGCGGCACCTAAAACACACACACACACACCCCACAAGTGCACGCACAGCCTAAACTGGGACGTCACAATAATATATTTGTTTGTGATCTTGTGAGCTTTTAAGAAACACGTTTCTTGCGTTTCCCCATGTCAAAATATTCATTATAG